CTGTTGGCGCACAAAAGGAAGAAATGATTTCATGCCGTGCTAGCCAATAGCCATATAGCTCTCTCTCTCTGTTTGTCGCATGATCATTGCAGTGTCACTAGTAAGGTCGATGTGCTTTCTTTCTCTAATTTATCAGAATTTTTTTGACTTTTGTTTGTGAGGTTTTCTTGCAAGGTGTAGTGCAATTGTTTTCGCAATTTAGCCCAAGTGTCTGTAGTTAATTTGTGTAAAAATCGTCTATCCTTAGCAAATAATGTCCGACAAGAAAGGTAAGTAATTTTCAAGAAATCTAAAGATGGAGGATAGGTGGTAACTCGAGAAATCCATACAAAAATCGTGGGGCAATCAGTCAATGGCCGCTCTAGCTGTGTCGATAATAAAATTGTTCAGTAAAAATTCGTACCTATATTCGCGAAGGCAGTAAATATAATAAAAATTGCATAATTATGCAGGATGTTCAAATCAATACTAACAGTAAGGTTATCTCTCTCGTTCAACGGGTAACCTACATACTTCCTTGATGTTTCTAACTCGTTCCCTCCCGTAATAGCCTTGCCCTAGTTTACTCACTGCAGTATTAGGATTAGGGAAATTTAATGTTAATGTTATAATTTAGGAAGCGAGATCATGAAAGTTATGTTACTTATTCCAGCTTCAACTGCAATAGAAGACGTGCTGAACAGGCCTGGAAGTGGAGCCCGAAAAAAACAGTACCTATTTATTTTCATGTGTTTATATACAGTGGCTGATTTGCTTGTTGGTTATTCATACCTGCTCAACGAATTACCTTCACTAGATTTTTTGGTTGGGGTTTGTAGCTCTTCACATTCATTTGATGGACCAGATTTTCATAAAAAATATGAACAGATGGTTCAGTCTTGCTCAGTCATACCTAATAGGATATATCATGAGATCTACAGGGTGTCTCATTAAAATGAATTAGAAAACAACTTTTCATTTATTGTGAATTAATAATTAAAATATTATGGTTTTGCCTTAAAATGTTGATATTAAAGTGCCTAAGTACCCATTTCTTATTTTTTTTAATTACTACTCAATTTTGAATGAATATGCTTGAAAATGTTTATCATTTTTAGAAAAGTAAATTAAACATGATGCATTGATTTTATGTAAGAAATGTAAATCTTAACTAAATTACGGATTTTAAAAGTCCACTTTGTCATGTTTAGGATACATACAACACACTACATAAATATAATATTGCAGTATACTTATGCTAGGTACTTACCTACAATTTTGAATAAATAAGCTAAGTAGGTACAGGGACAATACTTACATGCTAAAACAGACAAGGCAACTCTTGTCGAGTCGATGGTCCACTTGACCTATCCTTTATACTAATGAAATGAGTTAAAACAGACTACGGGATGAGGAGCTGCCTTGTGTGGCGTCTGTTTTAACCTATTTTATTGGTATAAAGGACGTCGACTCAAGAGAAGTTGCACTGTCTCAAAACAACAATCTTTGAAAATTAGTACCTACATTTGATTCTGTTGATTAATAGAACTCACACATACCTAATGGCATTCCAAAAATGGAGTGTGATTTAATATCTATGTAAAACTTTGAAAATATTTTTAAATTTTTATTTTTACTCCTTAACTATCTTTGAACTCTACTTTCATAATGACATAAGTCGATGTTAAAATCAGTAATTCAATAATTATTATCAGGAAATCTTACAAATGGGGGAAATTCAGAAAAAATAAGTGTTTTTATACAAACTGTCTTCTTAGTAAACATTGGCATCAGTTGACAGAAGTAAATGTTATCTTTTTTAAAACCTTAAAAACACTATTTGAAAGGTTATTTAAAAAATACACATGCCTTCATAAAATCAATAATCTTGTATTGCAATATTTAATTTTTACAAGATAAGTTTTTTAAACCCTATATAGTTATGACATCCTGTAGTTCATCTCCACCTGTCTTTTTCAGTACCGTTCATGGTAATTGATTTTTATTATTTCTGACAGGATCATAAAACATTCATATTTTTTTTGAACATATTTGCTGGTTGTTTCTTCAGCTAAAATTACAGGTTTTTGTCATATCAATGACTTCATTTTTTGTATGAAAAACAGTAAAACAGATATGAACTATTTAAAATAAACATATTAATTTTTTTCAGTAAAATAAAGCATTCTAATTCAAGCAAAGAAGAGTTGTAAGAAATTGAAGTCTAATTCAAAAAAACGGTACAAAAATTTACAAATAAATATCTAGCCAAACAATTAGAAATTAGTTTGCTGATTATTATTTTGCCTAAATGTTGTTAATTTTATTGTGGTTGAAAGTTTTTGCTTTTAGACACTTTTAGTGGAATATCGAAAATTATCACAAAAGCTTTGTTCATGAATTTCTTTGTTTCTATTTTTTTTTCACATACAACGAAAAATATCTATCAAAATTAAAAATGCATAAGCGTGTGAAGCTGGTCCTTAAAAAATATAAAAATTAGGTTTCAAATGGTTGCCCATCTTCAAGACATAACAATGTTTTTCTACAGAAAAAAAAACAACAAAACCTTGGTAAATGTTAAGTCAAAGCTTAAATGATTTATTAGCAATAAATGGCCAAGCCTCAGCATTATGTTGATTTTTGTTCACCCACAGAAAGCTTTTGCTGATGGTACATGTCTGGTATATGTAGTTTTGCCACTACAAAAAGGCTTCATGCATCATTATTATTGAGGGATTTAATTAAGGAATTTTAAACTAATTAAATGATTAACTTCTTATAATTAAAATTTCATTGTAAAGCAGATAACCTTCAATGTTACAATACTTCTGAGTTTTCACCATTTTCAAAGTTCTTGGAAGTGATGGTCAAACGCCTAAACATAATTCTAAGTCTTTTGGGGTCTTTAATTGCTTCTTCCTGACAAACCATTTTTTGTAAGTAGCCATGGGAAATATTTAGTTTTTCCTCTATAAAAATAGTTTTTTAAAAAAATCTCATGGTTGAGTATACCTACCAATTCTTGGTCAAAAGGAACCCGAATTTTAAATCAAAATTTTCGAATATTTCTGGGTTCAGCTTCACGTGGCTCAAATGCTTCTTATTATTTTTAGAGAGCAAATATCTATCTGCTATATTAAATTTTAAAATTAGTATTCTGGTAAATACGAGGGTAAATATTTATGAGGCAATCAAATATGCCTCTTAATAATTTACAGTACAGTTATTTATGAAGGCAGTGAAATATAAATAACTTAATTTCCGATAATATCAATCCATTTAAATGATTTTAAAAGTTATACTTAATTGATTTAAAAGAGATTTCATATAGTTTTTTATCAGCTTTTTTTTAAATTTCCTTTTGTTGTAATTCAATCTGAAACAAGACAAAAATATATATCACAGATAATGAGTGTGAAGGGTACAAAACAGTTACTGTAGCTGAAGATGTAAAAATATTTATCAGTGGTCCAACATATAGACATTTTGTGGTCTATAATTCACTGCATGAAAATCAAAAAATATGTAACAATGAATGGAATTATTTTACAAACATTTATTTTACTACGACATTCAAACAAATTATACACATTGGAAAAAAATTATCTTTAACCTTGCTTACTTACCCTGAAAAAATCTGCATGAATTTGGATCCAATTTAAATGTCAAATTAAATTATTGAATAGGCTGGCATTTAGGTCATGAATTTGCTGGTGAAATAAATCATATACCTATATAATTTCCCAGTTGAAACTTGTGCAATTTTATTTTCATTACTAGCTTTGTTATTAAAAAAAATAATAACTATTTTTGGTGTAATTTGGAAGTAGATACTATTATTTTCAGTAAATCAAAATTATAAAAAACAATTTTGTCAGATTTTTTTGTCTTTACAATATCTACCTTATTCAACTTTTTTTTTATAAAATATTATTAGACGTTTGAAAACAAATACCAATTAATAAAAAATCGTAGTTTTTTCTTTAGGAACAATAAAGTTTTTCTTAAAAAAAATTAATCATTATTTCATGGCAATCCCTATGTTGATGATTATTATTTGAAAGTTTATAAACAAATTTGAATTTTTTTAAATTTTTCTGTCCCATTGATCCACTGAAATGGATCCCTGTACATTTGACGACACCGAAATGTGAACGCCAAAATTTAATGGTGTGATTTAGACTTTGCATCATAGTCATTTGTTATATTCAAATTTGACAGCTCTTAAAAGTAATTATCAAAAATTTTTTCAAATATGTCGCTGCAATTAACTGAGGCTTAAAAGTCAAGAGCTATAGCAAAATTGGAAGAAATTCTATTTTTAAGTGTTTAAATGTCAGTAAAAGTTGCATTTTTTATGTTAGAAATGCTGGCAAGAAGAACAATGATTGCGTAGATTTTTCTGATAAGGTGTAGGGAAGGTCTCTAATGAACATGAAGAAATGAAACCAATGTGAAAGGACGAGAAGAAATATGTCCAAGATCTCTCAGAATAGCTCAAATGTGTTTAAAAAAACTGCCCTCATGCCCACGAAGTTCTCTTAACAGCAGAAAATAAGTGCAAGGGAGAACAGTTCGCAAATGAATTTTTAATTCATGGGGAAGAATTTTGGAACAACGTGGTATTCTCCAATGTAAAGAAGTTTAAATCTACTAACAGTGGAAGGCTGAGAGTTAGTTTATTGTCCTAGAAACTCAGAATTTGAAGAGAAAATTATATGTTGGTTACTAATAGTAGTGGGCGCTTTTACGTCAATGTTTGGGCGTGGATAAGCGTTAACGGTCCTGCAATGTGCTGGCAAATTGATAGGCGGCTAAGGAAAGTTTTTTCCTGTTAATTTTACCTTTCAACAAAAATCAGTTTGGTAAACGTATAAATGATTATAATTGATTTTTATTGCTTGAATAGTAAGTGAGTGTGTCTACAACAACATATTTTTTTGCCATGGCCAGCAAAAAGTCCTGACTTCAATTAAACACGGGGTACTAGATAGTAATTCTCAAAATATTATTGGTAGTGTAATCTATAAACTATAAAGCAAAACTTAAATAAAATACAGGACACTACCTTGGTTTCATTTCAACTTATAACCACTACAAAAGGTGAAGATAACATGTAGAAGAGCAATTCGTTCTTTGAAACATGAGTACTATATTGAAAAAAAATGTCTGTATGGAGCAACAGTCGGGTTTTCAAATAAAAATAAAAGAACTTTCTCTCCAAGCTGCATGATTAATCCATATGATCTTACCATTAAGACTGGAAAATAGATGGCCTTTCTACTTGCTGGTGCTGTGGTGATGCACCTATTTTTTGCAGGTTTTATTCTTGATTTGAAGTCTAGAAGTTATCTCTGTTGATTATTCTAGCAGGTTGACAAGATTATTTATTTTATTATTCTTGAAGAATATTCGTACATTTTGCTTACGGTTAAATTTATCTTTGTCTTGCAAAATATTCGTCCACTATGTCAATCTTTTAACTAATGTTTAAAGAATGTTATTTTAATTTTTCTATGATGTTTAAAAAAATTGTTGGAATTTGTTAAAAAAATAGAGAACTTACAGAAGTAGTTCCATTTTACACTGTATATATAAAATATGTTAACCAGAATATAAATGACACTCTTCTAAAAATTAATATCAAAACTAAACGACACAACAGGGTTTTCAAAAACAATTGACACTTATTTTTTACTTTAAAGGAAAAAACGAATTGTAATAAATTATAAAATTTTGAATAACTAACTCATTTATCACAAAAAAGTACTCTTGAAGAGAGCTCATAACTTTCAGTTTTCAAAATATATTTGTTTTATTAATTCCAAACATTTGATTTTGATTTAAACAATATTTGCTACAATATAGTATATTATGCAATGAACATTTAATGATGTCTTTATAGACACTGAATGTGAGTTGCAACACTATTTTTTCTACAACCATCAATTTATCATAAAATTTATTAAATAAAATTAATTAAATATTAAATAAAACAAATGTCAAAACATTAAAGTTTAACAAAAAAAGGAAAATTTTAGAATTATTCTTTTTGAGATTCTTTTTGATTTATGGTTCTTTATTTATGGTATAGTTATTAAAATGCAACTGTGGTTCTTCTGGTAGTTTTGTAACAATATCGGTGGATCTAGTTGTTGATGGAAAAACACAAATTTCAGGAATTTACTAAGTAAACACTAACAATGAAGTGACGAATTATTAAATTTTTTGATGTTAGATGTTCAGTCTCTTTGATATTTATCTTAATAAGTATCCTTAAAGTACACGTAGTGATGGTAAGGAACACTCTTTTGGGACAGGCAAATTTGAAAATATGAAAAATAATTATATGATAAATAAAATGTAAATCGTGTAGGTAGCGGAATTGTATCGCGCGCTGGTATTCACTTACAAGCACAGTTTTGTGGTTGAGACACGCAGCTTCAGATCATAGATCAAATTATTTGATTTTTTAATTAATTTGCATGATTTGCTCTAGGATTTGATGGGTGCCGTATTAGCAGTAATTTAATTTCTGTTTATATGACATCCTTATTATCATAGCTGGGCAAGTACTCGAATACTTTTACTCATTTTTATTTTAACGAGTAAAATAACAACTCGTAATATTTACTTATAAATATTTTTAATTTGAAGTACTTATTACTCGTACTTGCAAGCAAATTTAAATCTACTCGTAGAATGTACTTGTAAAATACTAGTGGTATTTTGCGAGTAGTCGGCATTCGTTTGATCGACGCGTTGGTAAAAACATCTGGGAGATGTTCACCGCCTGACCGAAGTTTCGGGGCAGGTGGGACAGCTACTATTAAAAAGCATATTTTTTTAAAGAAAAGGAGAGTAACCATATTTTTTGTGACTTTTTTTGCTCTTCAACGGAAAGAAGATAAATAGATAAACGTAAATCGTGTAGAAACGACCGGAGGACTTTTTTGCTTCCCAAGTCTTAATATGGTCACCTTCAATAAAAGGTTTACATATTAAGAATTTTAGCTTCCGGGAGGGCAGGCGGGGGTGCATTTTCCCCTGTAACTGAACTCACGACGTGCCGACGCGTGCTGTAAGTATAGTTGCCCTAAATAAAATTATAGAGACGGTAAAAATTTGAATCTGGGTTGGTAGTATCCCATGCCCCTTCTTTGGGGTGAGAATACTGATGCAAAAAATTTCAGAAGTATGATACTTAGCAGACAAAATCTCGTTAAGTTCGCATATGACTTATTGTGGTGTGAAATATGGTTATCTGATTAAAATTTATTTTTGCGCGCTGTTTTCGATTAGCTCATACATCAAATTCGTAAAAGCCACGCCTTCCATCACGTGACGTGCAGTATCATGCTTTTCCTGTGGCTTTTAATTATTTTTGGTGTTTTGTGGTGTGAGTGGTGTCATGTGTCATTATGTTTTATCGGTGGCTGTAGAAAGACTATTTCCTTTCGCTACAATTATTATTAGCCCAAGAAGGCACGTTCGTTCCGATACTAATTTCAAAAAATGTGTAATTTTAAAAACTATATTAAGTTGTTTATTGTTTAGAGCAGTGATACTCAAAGTGTGCTCTGCGGAGCCCTGGGGCTCCGCAAAGCCTTTGTGGGGGCTCTGAAGAAAATAATAGTGTTACTGGCTCCCCCACCATGAGAACGTCTAATAAATCAATTAAAGTGTGGAAGTAGAAAAGGTAATATTTGATACTTAACTTGTAAAAAAAATTATTGCATATTAAATCAAAAATATGAATATCTTTTTTGTAGTAAATGAGTCAGTTAATAAAAAAAAATTGTACTTACCACCCCTTTTTCCAGTGGCGTAGAAATTTGAAGTGTTCAATTACAAAAAATACCTGATTCTATGCCTATGGATCGATGTAACTTATTATTATTATTATTGCTATGGGTCTTTAGGTCAACTAGAATTCACTTAAAGACCAATTTTATTTCAATTTTTTCTATAGTCCTCAACTTTTATGCCTTAGTTACATGCTGCGACATTTTTGAAAATTATTTAAAAATAATTTTTGAAAGCAGTAAAATTTGAATGCGACGCACGACTTTGATGCAAAGTCTAAATCACACCATTAATTTTTGGTGTTCACATTTTTGGTGTTCACATTTTTGGTTTCGTCAATATAAATATTTACCTATGTTACTTATTTTTAATTTCTATTGTTTTTCAATTTCATTTCGATTTCACAAAACTAATATAAAAATGTCTACAATTTGAAATGATCGGAGCTTGTGACGTTACTGGTTTAAATCGATATTTTTAATGTTTAATTACTAGACTAAATGTTCAGCTTACAACTTCTGTTCCCCAAGAATTGAGAACTCGTGATTCATTAACCAATCAAAATTGAAGCACAAAACACAACCCTTGACAGCTATGACAGTTACAGTTCACAAATGTCATGACAATTGTTGATAGAATTTGAATTTTTACAATACCACTGACACATTTGCGTTACAAATTACATAAATCCACTAAATTTTTTTTTTACTACTTTATATTGAATAAAAAATGAAGGTTCAAAATTTTTTAATTCGATTTTCTTATAATACTAGTGTAAAATAAAGCAATATAGTATTTTGAAATAGAACTTCAGAATTGAAGTACAAACATCTCTTATCAATAAACATTGTTACGTATTTTTTGCTATGTGTGGGAGTAGGGAGGTAAAATAAAATACCTACTGGATTTCACCGGTGTTTGCTACAATGTTGGCTATACTGCTGCAGCACCTCTACCTACGTCGCTAATACGATCTTTAAAAAATCTCTACCTATCGAATGAATTGATAAAGTGAAAAGATCATTTTTTTCAAAAGTTAAACACAACTCATCAATTAGAGTGGGAAAAATGATCTTTTTCAATGAGAGAGGGCGCTTTCGACATTGCATATCTGTCACCCATTCAGCCTGGTTGTCGAACTGAATTTTACCGTTTTGCCCAGCTACATTTTTCTATTAATCAAAAGTACCGGTACTGCTTTACTAAATTGACTGGTTCATGGACAATTTTTGTATTTATTTCTGAACGATAAGTGCATTTTAATGTCTTCGAATTTTTTCAGATTTTTGATTAATAGTGAAAACGTAATGGATCAAAACTACGACAAAACTAATTTTTGGACACCCCCTGAATTAACGACAAAACATTTGATAGGTACAGAATAGTTTTGCAATACAGGACGACGGGATCTTTTTGTATTTATAACGTTTGAAATATTTATTATTATTAATATGTGACTAATTTAGATTAAGTAACCCCTCACTAGATATTTATTTATTAAGGGTCAATTTATGATGATTTTGAAGAAAAAACATTTTATTCATTTATTTTTAACAATTATTCTTGTAATCTGATTTTATTTATCCGAAATATGTCAAGCAAACGCGAATAATACCGATGATATTCCATCAGTTATCTCTGCGGCACTGCAATGAGCGCCGTTTGTCATTAGCCTTGATCTAACTTAATTAGGATGTGGCTTCAATCATATAAACACTAGATACATAATTTTACCTGTTTTAATCTCCCAACCTATAAAAATGGGGAGGTTATTGCAGTCACTCCAAAATCCAAATTTGAAATAACAGATCTTTATGTTTTGGAGTCCTAGGAATCCAAAAACATGCTTTTTAAAAATGTCTGTGATGTTTAGCAGGATACAGCTCAAACTCTTCAGTCGATTTGAATGGTATTTAGAACATAGGGTTTCCAGAATCCCATGAAAGGCTGAGTAGGATTGGACATAATCGGAGCAACTGTAGGGGTACTTTATAGGTTGCCGTTTTTTTACTTTTTCGTATATTTCTGTTATTTATGATTGGAGAAGAAAATTCTTTGGATACATTTTTTTACTTCATGTTTAATTGCTATATAAAGGGTGTAACAAAATGATATACAGTAAATTTAACCAGTTTCTGGGGTCGAAAGTAAGTCTAGTTAAGTTAACAAGGTGTTTCATTAAGAATGTATTTTTTGGTGCCATAAGATACACCAATACACCAAACATTTAATTGGACTATAATTTTGAATTTTTTCATAAATTTTAAATAAATCATGTACTCTTGTTGGAAAGGACCCCGCACTTTTTATAGGGAAAAATGGTTTCAGTCCCAAGGTTTAATTTTTGGTGAAAAATGTAGATCTCAATATCCTGAACAAAAAGGTAATGGGCACAAAAAATTGTACCATTATTAACAGAATAGTTAAAAATAAAAATTGATGTTTCTTGAATATAAATGTACAAAAAACAAAAACTCTTATACTTCTAAATAGGGAATTAAAAACCCTTTAAAATGAGGTATCACATGCTACCTCTTTCTATTTAAAAAAATTAAAGGAGTGACTTTTACTCCGAAGGGGTTGAAGGGGAAGATAAATAATTTTGTTCAGAAAATGTCATTTTGGAAATAAAAATCGACCTGCCCAAGGATTTTTTTCAAAACGTAATAATAAAGCCAATAATTAATATATTCCACAAATATGGACCACCCTGTATATATATAGTACTTTTTCACTCTAACACACCTCCAGGCATGCATGTTTCCATAATCGGCTACTGAATACGCTCTTTTTTGATAAAAATGACCCGAAACCTGAAAACCCAGGTGCCGACCTTCTATGGCCCGTAACGCAAAATCCTGACGGTAGATTTTTTGTGCCCATTACCTTTTTTGTTCAGGATGTTGAGATCTACATTTTCCACCAAAAATTAAACCTTGGGACTGAAACCATTTTTCCCTATAAAAAGTGCGGGGTCCTTTATAAAGAAATCCAAAATTAAAAAGATAAATATCCACCTTATATCTCGAAGACCAATCACTTTATGAGTTCCCAACAAGAGTACATGAACCGTTTTAAAGCGATCAAGCGGTAATTTTCGGTATTTACCATTTTAATTAAAGCGATGTTGGTTATATTTGGTTACTTTCTATGACGTCATATTTAAGCCCTTTGAAACGTCATTAATTATAACCGGTAAATACCTGAGTCCAGACGTGGGTTAGTACTGACAAGTGGAAGTGACATGTAGTTAGTGTTTCTTGGTTAGATTCAAAGAGTTTAGAAATGTTTGTATAATCTAAGCATGTTTAATTGTCTTATTTTTCATCAGAAAATCTTCAGCTGTTCTGTGTCCCATTCTTAATGAAACATCCTGTATATAAAATGGATAGTAAAAAATTTAAAGGGTGTACTCGAGGGTGTAGTAGAAAATCACTTAAAATCTTTTTATGAAAATATAAATGAGTTGTTAATATACAGTGACCAATAAAATGGGGTCAATAGCGTTTAAAATCGTTTTAATTCTAAAGGTTTTTAGAAGGATCACAACTCTTTGACCCCTTCTTTTTTAGACAAAGAAATTGAGTTGAAAACCGGACGCCACTGAAATCCTACATCCTGGTATTTGTGAAAGCCTTAATCGCTGAGTTATATGCCCCTGAAGAAAGGTCATAGTAAAAAATACAAATACAAACCTTTGAATATTTGTTAATTTTTTTTTTATATTTTACAACTTCATTTACAATAATTATTCCCTTGTATTATCGATCATCTATAAAGTTGTAAAATAGTTAAAAAAATAGTGAACTAATATTCACTGGTTTGAGGTCAATAGAAAATTTTCCAGTAATTAAGGCTTTCACAAATAAATACTATGATACGAAAAAATATCAAAACAGTGGCGTCCTGTTTTTAACTGAATTTCATTTTCTAAAGAAGCAGGAGGTCAAAGAGGTCAAACATAGAATTAAAACAATTTTATACGCCATTGGCTCCATTGTATTGGACACTATAAACTAACATCAGTAAAAGAGCTATGTTCATTCTGGCGCAAACCTTGTAAATTAACATGGGAAATCGCCAAGGAGTGGTTAGATAACATCGAGCTGCGGTTAGATAGCAGCTAGCAGCAATTATATTACAAAAAGGACATCGCATAGTATTCAGGGACTAAGTGCAAATGGACATTAACGTATATCTTTGCTATTATTAATCCCAATCAAATGAAAAAACGGCACTATGAACGAAGTGTGGCATATTTAAAACTGCACATGCGCCACACTAGATCTGAAGTTAGGTAACCTAACCAGAATTGGGATTCTCGTCTTTCAATTCGGCACGTGTTGAGACTATCTTCGTTCCAAAGAATGCGACTCGTATATAATGTCTATCTCTGTTCAATTCGTTACGTGTTGAGTACGCACTGTGAAGACTGTACGCACATAAGAATCCCTGTCCTGTTGACAAAATATCAACATTACAAATGTCAACTGTCAATCAAAAAACGGCCTCTAACCTATGAAGAATAGTTGGGGAGTGTTGAACAAGTCTCTGAAGGAACTGAAGAAGTTACGGCCAGGGGGTCGTTTTAGCTGACGTATATACGAGGTAAACGAAAAAGCCAAAAGGGCCACTTATATCTCTGAAGACGTGTCAGAAGGATAAAAATCATACGCAGTAACATTTCCAAAAAAAAAAAGAAAAAAAAGACAGATGGGCATAGAAATAGTTCAGTCAGGATGGCCAGATCGAACTGTACACCTATTAATTCGCTCTGTAAAAAGTGTAAGAGCAAAGTTGTTTCGGGCATTAAATGTATTAATAATTGTGATAGCTGTTTCCATCCCAGTTATGCAAAAATGAAAAATTTGAAAGTTGTTGATGATAATTTGGTTATTTGTTGTGAAAAAGTCGATCAAAATATTGTGATACTTTGGAAGTATTTGCAGGCGACGATAATGAGGTAGGTACCTATCAATTTTGTAAGGTATATTGTCAACCAATAAGATGAGTTAATAAAAGAAATGCGTGATAAAATAAATATTTTAAACGAACAAATTGTTCTATTGAACAGAATTCAATCAATTTACCCGACAAATTCGAATACGGTCGATTTGAAAAAAAGTGGTCTGATAGTGCTAAAGCACAAAAACCAAATCAGCCTAATTTAATAATTTCGAGTGTTTAAAATACGGATAAAAAATTATAGCAAATTTAAAAATAATTCTTTACTAAGTCTGTAGAAAGTTCAAAGGGATAAGATGAATACGAATATTTATTTTAAGCTCAAATGTATGCAAAAAGTAGGAAAATGAAATTAACTGATAGGAACTATCCTCAATAAAAAATAGTGCTGGTATTGTTAAAATTAATGCATCTGAGGCAGTAGAAAAATGCAATGATGCAAATAATTGGAACGTCGTTAACCGATAAAGAAAACGTAATATTGTAGGAAATAATACTACCGAAATTGTGAAAGCCTACATGTTTAGAGAATTAATATCGACACTACCGCTAATGATCTGGAATCTATTCTCGTTAAAAAATTTCCGGAAGTTAAATACGAAAAATTAAATTCGGTTCGTCCGGAAATTTACTCTTCTTTTAAAGTTACAATATTGGAAAGTAATCTTTGAAATGCTATGAATTCTGAATTATGGACTCTAGGAGCTTGCATTTATCGTTTTTTAGAGAGACGCAGGAATTCGGTTCACAATACACCTTAGTGTTTGAACCAAACCTGTTTATACTTAATATAGCAACTTTAAACGAAAATAAAATTAACACTCTCGATGATGATCTTGATGTAGATCATCAGCCCCGTCTTGTCCTACCGCAGTTCTCCGTAACATTGACTACACACTTTCAGGAGCCTGTAGGAGACCATTCTGGCCTCCCTTTCCTTCCTCCCTTTCCAGCAGAATGTGGAGAGGGGTTAGGTCCAGCATGATCTCCATGGCTCCCGTAGGTGTAGTTGACATTGCTCCAGTTATGGCGAGGCACGCAAGCCTCTGTGTTCCAGCCAGCTTTACTCTGGCCGTCCGTTGGAGTCCCTTGTCCCACCAGACGACAGAGCCGTACGTAACCATGGGTTTTACCACTGTTTGGTAGATCCAATAGATCAGTTGAGGACTGATCCCCCATGCTTTGCCGCATATCCTTCTGAGGGTCCAGAGGGATAATCTGACTTTGTTAATGGTTTTATCCAATTGGGGGTTCCAGGTGAGTTTCTTATCTAGGGTGATTCCTAGATATTTCACCTCCTCCGCAAAAGGAATGGTTTCCCCAGCCAAGGTAAGTTGTCGAAGCTTGTCGAGTTTTCTTCTCTTGGTGAAGGGGTCAATAACAGTTTTGCGGGGGTTAACAGACATCTG